ATTTCAGCACAAATGTTTGTTGTGGATTTTGTTGAAAAAATGTGTATTATAAAATAAAAGTCTGAACTCCAAAACCCACCAGGTTTTAAAGGCATGTCATCTTTAAAAATCTGAAAGTTTACACCATTTATCAGAACCAGAAAATATAAAAATAGCATTTTAACTTTCTGGTAGTCCTTGAACCTTGATGTGCAGCTGTAAATTAACCACACTACAATTATACTTCATTAAAATCCCTTTGTTTTACATGTCTCACTAACAAACTATATCCATTTGCACCAGACCCTGTAGAAGAAAAAAAGAAAGAAAGAAAGAAAAAGATCTGCAGTCCTCTGCGTAACCAATAAGCCAGTAGTGACTCAGCTGCAACCAATACTTACATGAGAAAAATTCTCAGTTTTCCAATGAACTGCAGATTGTGTTTACACAAAGCAAAGATGAGATGAAAAGAGAGACTGAGAGGAAAATAAAACCTACTGCATCAATAGACTAAATGCAGCATGGTTCTAAAAGAGTAAACAGAGGAGCAAGTTGCTGGAAGAGACATTCAGCAGGTTCCTGAGTTCTCTCCACTTCTAGCCTTGCTTGTGCTCCGTCCATGTTGCAGTGAAAAACAAACCCACAGTGGGTCAAGATGTGACAGGGGCGACAGAACACAGTGACGCGGTTACTGTAAATGCGAACAAATGCAATGACACATCAGTGCTCTGTAGGACTGTGTGTGTGGAGGAGTTCAGTCTGGTGGAGCTGCTTTTAAGGAGGCATCCTGGAGGGGGGGGGCTGCAAAGTGGCGCAGTTGGTTAGCACTGTTGCCTCGCAGCAAGAAGGTTGCCGGTTTGTGTCCTGGTGAGGACATCTGGGATCTTTCTGCGAGGAGTCTCAATGCTCTCCCCGTGCAGCGTGGTTCTCTCCGGGTTCTCCGGCTTCCTCCCGAAAACACATCTAAATTGTCCGTAGGTGTGAATGTGAGTGTGCTTGGGTGTCTGTCTCTAAGTGTAGCCCTGTGATGGCAACCAGGGTGTCCCCTGCCTTCGCCCTAAGTCAGCTGGGATAGGCTCCAGCCCCCCGCGACCCTAGTGAGGATTAAGCGGTGTATAGATAATGGATGGATCCTGGAGGGGAAACATGGCACACACTGATCATCCAGAGTCAGTAGGGGTCAGCAAATCACTGCACAAAATCCCAGTAGCTAGAAAATCTCAGTACAAACTCTCATTTATGTTTAACCTTCAGTGATATCTACCTTGTAATCATTGGTTGTGTTTATACAAGGTGTAAAGATGCAGACTGACCTTATTCTGCTGAAAAACAGTCTGATCTTAGACTTTTCTTATCAAGTAACTTTCCATAGAAATAACTATAAAAGTCCACAGCAGCTATTTTACTCTGGAAATGATATCAATGTAAAAAGGCTCATAGATCTTTTTGTGTTGTAACTGAAACACACTGAGGCCTGTGCTGATCATTAACAGGACTACCAGTTAATGAGTAGATCCGCCTGCAGGGGGCGCCACACGGCCGCTGTGAATGAGGTTCAAAGGTTAAACGGGACAATACAAGGCTGTGATTTGTTTTGCCGTCTAAATCCTACATCCTACAAATATATGTACGTTATTGGGTTGAGTGATACAGATGCGAGCTCTGTCTCTGTGGTTCGGAGCCAGACGGAGGATCGTGTCCTCAGTCTGAGGCAGGATGTCGGCCATATTGGGCACACGGGAAAACCATTCAATAGGACACGATGCGGCATTCACGGACCGTCGGAAATTATACCACAAGCCAGAAAGAGCCCAGGTAAAGGAAACCAAACAAGGAAATATCTGTCTGAATTATGTTTGACATTCAAGGTCGTATGTGTGAATTATTATTGAAGTATTATTAGACCAATGTGCTTTTTAGATTTAAATAAAAGGCCTTTGTTTTCTTTTCTTATACAATTAAAAAGATTTACATGCTACTTATAACACAATAGAAACATTTTTTGGGGTAAAAAATTAGTTGTTTGACAGAAAAGTAATTAACAGCTAATTTGACAAATCTCTCCCTCTCTCACATCTTTGAGTTTTGGGAAATGGTTGAACAGAGAAAGCAGTTTGATCAAATTGGGGTTTATAAAATTGTCATAAGCATATTTCACTTAGGAAAAATTAATAAATAAAGGTGATAATGAAAAGGTCTGCAAAGTGACCCAAGTGAGGATTAAGCGGTGTATAGATGATGGATGGATGGATGGATGGATGGATGGATGGATGGATGGATAGTAAAAAATGTGTTTAAAGAAACGACAGTGTGAGCCTTAATATGTAAAGGGAAAGATGTGGTGTTGTTTATATTGATGTGCCTACCTGTTATTTAGAGATGTCATGCTGGATGTCCGGATCCTTATACAGATGTGAAAATTTAATCTGAGAGGTGGTGATGTAAAGTTTTATCAAACTGAGTCCATTCTTTTTAACATAGGTGAATGAATATTTGTTGCTCCAACAGAATGAACGTCATGAAACAACCGAGTATGACAGTATAGTAAATGATAATGTGCAGATGGAGAGTGGCTTCATAGACCAGAAAACACAAGTCACCAATTAGTCCCTGATCTGAGACACATAAAGAGTTGATGAGGTTGTTGATGCTGTTTGTAGGATGCCATCTCACTCGTCCTGTAGACGAAGTTGGCGGACATTCTGGGAGGACAGGATCACGTTGTCGGACATCCAGAGCTGGATGAAGTGATTTCTTAGAAGACAAAAGGTGGAGTTCTGGACACTAACTGGCAAACAGCAGCCAGTATTTCAGCAGCCTGCTCATCTTTCTCTTGTCATTTGTGACTTGACTCAACGTAATCTAAGTAAAGCTGCATTTTAAGGCAGCCTTTAATAGTCACTGGCCAAAGGAGTGTCTGTGTACTAGTCACTGTCTGATCATTGTCTTTTAAAGCCACACCTGACCAGACTGTGGATTAACTCAAAGGGTGAGAATTTGTTAACATTTGAACAGAGTTTGGTGCTCCATTGGTTAATTATTTTCTAACTGTAACAACAGAGAACTTTTTCTCTATGTCAGAAAAGTAGACCATTTACATGCTGTGTTCATATTTTAGTCTATCTTCTGGCGCATTACACACCAAATAATAAACTGAATGTAATATAAGTACACTCAAAAAAATAAAGGTGCCAACTGCAACCAACTCTTCTCAATGATGCCAAAGAAGAACTTTGTTTAATTCCACAAAGAACCAGCTAAGACTCAAGACTGTTCACTACATCCTGAATTATGCCTCTGTCATGTGTTCCTGCTTACTGTTTTATTCTGTCAGTTCTCTGTTGTGCTTATTATTGTAGAACAATCATTTAAATCAGTCAATTCTAACAATAAGATATGATAAGATACAAGTTTGTTATTCCTGAAGGAAATTCTCGTGCCAGATATTACTCTGAAAAACAAATAAAGAAATGCAGTGCCTGAAAAAGTAGAACTCAGTAGGTATTAGTAGTATGATACATTGCTGAAATAAAATAATTAAGCTAAAATAAGAGAGTTGAAAAGTAAAAACGAATCCTGGCAATTATATTGAGGTACTTAGTATAATAACACATGATAATGAAATATTACACCTGAAAAATTAGATGAAAATGAAATATATTACATTGATTGACAATGTTGTACATAAAAGTGAAATGTTGCGCATGCTATCACACATGAAACTGAAATATTTCACCTGAGAAATGAAAATATGAAATATTGCACATGAAATACTACACTAGTATTGCACAATTTATTATTAAGCAATCTTGCAAATCTTTATATAAGTTCAAACTGTCTTTGGATGAAATCCTCACAGATGGAATGTCAGTCATATGTACATAGTTTTGGGATTAATGAATAAACAACACTGTAACAGGACAAAAAGTGTCAGTGCTGCTGCTTTGATGGGTGTTTAAAGAAGGAAAGCAGGATGTCCGAGTCTAATGCGAGCCCCTGAACGCAGCATGATTCCTCCTTTGGCCTCGTCGGCTCCTCGGTCCCAGTCCGGCTATTGTTGTGTGTGTTTCGGGGCAACCCTGACCTATCAGCGGCCGCTCATTTGTGATATTTGAACTGTTTCTCCGCCATATTCGGGCTGTGGAGGAGCAGGAGAACCCCAGCGGAGGACGGAGAGCGGCTCAACTAGTCCGTCGGTATGGGACGGACGGAGCACTGATTCCACGTTACACGCTGCTGCTGCTGCTGCTGCTGTCGGCTCCTTCACTGCGCTGCTTTGTCGACGGGAAATTAAAAACGTGAGGGGGAAGAAAAAAAAGAACCCACCACAGGACGCATGTAGCCGAAGTACGACGCTGCTAAGGTCGCTTTAAAGGTAAGAAACGCTCGCTTGAAAAAGTCCCATGTATCGGTGGGAGCGGAGCGGCGGGGCCTGGTGGCGGAGGACACTTGGAGAAAGTTGAGGAAAGCAGCAGCAGAGTTTACTCGGTGTTTTTCTCGGGAACCAAAGTGTGTTTCATTGTTAAGGCCGACCCAGGACAACAGCTTTAGGGGGCTTTATGTTCTGGTTTCAGTCGACAACAATGAGGAAAGGTTCCCAACCCGTCCTGGAACAAAGCTCCAAGCTTTGCATTCACACTTTAAACCATCAAACAATAACAAAGCAAAAACACGTTGTTTTTTAAAATTATTATTTGTAAAGCTATCTTCAAATTAATGTTACTTCCACATAATAAAAGTTGAACCTCCTCCCCCTTGTCCTCCCTGCCTCACCCAGCCTCTCTGGTCTCACCCACCGTCAGCTGCTGCAGGCCTCAGCTGGAGCAGGCCTTTAATGCAAAACACTGCAAAATGACAACGTGTAATTTAACCTTCTTTTTTTTTTTTTTGCTATAGTTTCCAGCTCTGCTCTTGCATGCATCTACTATAATAGTGCAACTCCACTGTCCACATTTACACACTCCATTAATTTGTATGGATGAAGGTGTAAAAGACACACATGCTGCTGCTGCTGCAGGGTTGTGTGTTGGTGTCCTTGTATTTAGTGACTGCATGAGTCTGTCGGGTTGCTTATATACTCCGGTGCCACTGTAATCCTCCTCCACCGTAATCCCTCTGTTAGTACAACCCCAGTTGGCTGGACAGTTGTGTCTCCTTCACACACACACACACACACACATGGACACACACATACGCAGCTGGAGTGCAGAGGGCTGCTGGCAGAGGATTGAGAAGAGCTAACAGGTGGTGCTGGCCGGGGTTCAGGGACTTGAATTTAACGGGAGGCATGGAGGATCTTCGCATACCCCTCGAGTGTCCTCACGGCACCAATGAGGCTTATTATTATTATTATAGTTCGCTGGGTGGAAGCTTCCAGTCTCGTGTGCTACGAATGAAAAGGCCGGAGTTGAAACACTGACATGTTGGCAAACTGAACACATGTTTGGATTTTGCTGATCACATTTCAGATCTCCATGCTCAGCAGTGTAGGCACAGGGAACAAGAGGAGCTCTTCTCTTTTTTTATAGCTTGAAGATGGCCCTTTCTCTCTCCCAGCCTCGCTCCGGCCTTTGACAGGCACAGCAGGTGGCCTCAATGGCATGAATGGATTCGGAAGGAAGTTCCTCTCTCTCTCCCCCCCACAAGCCCCCTGCACTCGTTGTGATTGGCAGAGATGGCAGGCTGCCCTGAAGATAAGTCCGAGCTGTGCCTCAGAGAGTGTGCCAGGCCGATTACTGCGTTATGCTTCAGCAGTGGTTTGCCGCCTCCGGTACCTTCTCATCTTTCTGTGATTGTGGCCACTGTTGCTTTGCAAGTCGGTGAACTCCGCTTATAGGCTTATGCGCTGGATTTATCTTTAATAGCTGGAGCAGGTTAGATGCAGACTGTGTGTGCTGCTGTTTGCCCAAACCATGTCAGAAACATTCCAAACAAAGTAGTATTGCAGATTCTCAATGGCAACCCAGCGGTCTGTGTTGTAGTGCTGAAAGTGGAAAACAAATCAGCAACACTGCAGAGATCGATAAAACTGCTTTGGGAATTTAACAAGTTAAAATGTCAAACGTTCGCTGGTTTCACTTTCTCAGACCGGATGAATTGCTGCTTAGTTCTGGAACTGGAGACTCCAAACATTTGTTATTTGAGTAGTTTAAAAAAACAACATTTTTTTTCAGTACCTATTCTGGCATCTACAGTATAAACATGTTTTTACACACAACATTAAAACCAGTGACAGGTCCAGAAATGGGTACTGTGATATGGGCAACCGCACCTGGCGACTGATAACAATCACATGGCTGTCTGTGTCAGTCTTTCCAAAAGTCTCTGTTTCCACCCATCCTGGCTAAAATGCAACCTCTGAGTTTTCAAACTTTCAAGCAGCAGTTTAGGGATCTAAAATGCTGGAATAGTGTGGATTTTAAAAATATATATAACAATAGTCCCATCTGCGCATGTCTACGCCACAGGGGTGGTGGTGTGCATGTGTGGAACAGAATCATACAAGTGGATGTGGAGTGAACGCGTTGAATAATGACATCTGGAACTCTGGGAGTTTAATCAAAGCTACATATCAAGATATCCCGATGAGTTAATAAGTCTTTCAATCCAAAAACCACAAAGTAAACAGAAGAAATGGGTGCAATCAACTAGAAATATATATCAGTATGTATGGTGGCTATAAGAAGTCCTCACACTCCTTGGATGTTTTTACATCTTATTAATTGTTGTACCAAAAAAACTAAAACTATTTTCTGTCAAAGTAAAAGCAGATTTCAACAAAGTAATGTCAAAGAATGGAAAAAAAACTAAATGTAAAATAGGCCATTGTGGAAGTATAACATGTTAAAAAGCAATAAAAGGGAAAATCCTTAGAGGGGTCAATACTTTTTGTAGTTTTCCATGTTTTACCGACCAAACACTTTACTGAATGTCATCACATTTTGTGTGTGAATATTTTTTTTAATGAATTCTTTTAGCGAAGCATAAGCCAGGTATGGAGCAAGTGGTATTGTTTGTATTTGGGGTCCGAGTCCTCCATATTGGCATCATGCTGCATCCTGAGTGGTCGAACTCAAGCCAATAGGCAGCTGTCTTTTCATGCAGGAACATCTGAGCACGCCCATTTTCCTTCTTCATCCTTACATGAAAGAGTTTTCATTTGCCAGATGTTGACTTTTAAAGACAAACTTAACAAACCTTAACAAAATCAGTAGTAAACCATCATGAATGTTTCATACTCATCTCCATTCACACAAAGTTTTACTCCTAGGAAAACAAAACAAAACAAAACTCAGTTTGTGTGTCTGTTTGGACAGTTTATGTCCTTAGTGGCTGCAGTGGTTACACAAGTCAGCAGCCCAGGAGTCAAAGGGCCCCTCCAGAGTTAAATCTTATCTGATTCGTCACAGCGGTAAGCAGAGTTATTAGCTGTGTCATGCATCATCTCGCTGAGTGCTTTACACACATCCCATTTATACTGTCAGAGCTACACCCAGCCATTCCTATGAGCAGATACCGAGAATTTGTGTGATTAGCCACCATTAAAGCTTGACAAAATGTCGTACATGAACACTGTGTTGGCTTTTCTTTTTAGGTCCATATCTGTCATTCTGTCAGTATAGTTTGAATTTGACATGACATTTACTGGGACATTTTCTAAGCTTCCCACTGATTGTCTCTGGTTACTATATTCCCCTTCTTGGTTCACCCATGTTGTTCTGCACATCTTGTTCTAATAGGGCTTGTCCACTCTCCGTACTTCACTGTAAAGCTCTTTATTACAGTGACTCTATTCCGGGCTATGCAGACACACTGGAGTCTTCTGAGGTAGTCTGTTGACTCTTCCCAGTATAGGAAGTGTGAGGCGAACAGCTTGGACTGACAACATGTAGTGCTGGAATTTTGCTCTCCTGAATGTTGCTGCATGACCGCTACAGAAAAAGCTTCCCGCCCGTAGCGCTGCAGCATTGTTGTGCTGGGCCCTGTGGGAAGCAGCAGCCTGTGTCTCCTTAATCTGACACGGCATCACTGGCAGTCTGGCACACAGCCTCACATGTCACATGTCCTTGGAAGGGGTCTCGCTCCAGCATTTGTTTGAACACATACCAGTGTCTTTTGTGTGCTCTTGAACAAGATGCCTGGCAATTAAGTTAGTCATAAATGTGTGGAATAGTCGATGCACTGCCTGTTTTAATCTTTAAAATATGTCTGCAAGCTGCAACAATTGCCTACTTCATAATCGACTATGACATTAATTTTCTCAAATTATCTTTTCATTGTTCAGGTCTGTAAGATATCTGAAAAGTCCAAAAGCAATGCCCTTTTTAAGAAATATATCAAACTATTAAACAAACTAAAAAATATAGAAATAATTGTTACTTTTGCTCTGTTCTGTACTAAATAAACATGTTCCCATATGTCTGGAGAATATAATTTCTATGTCCAGGCATATTTGTAGAACCACAATGCAGAACATTTTTGCTTTTATTAAAAAAATTGCAGTTCCTGCAATTTTGATATTGTGCTTGTTTGCAATTTCAATAATATTGCAGTTAAATGTTCATGGATATGTGGCTCTAGTTTAAATTTAGAATATTTTGGCACTGGGGGAATCATTTATGGGTTGAGAAGATCCTCCTATTTCTTAACCTTAATAGGTCAATTATAAACCCAGTGGATTATTAGAAGACTGTCTCACTGCATCACAGAGAAGACGCTCAGCTCATTAAACATCAGTGTTGTAAAGATACATGGTTTTCATGGGACAACAGCAAAATGGAACAGTGCCATCTCCAGAAGTGCATTTAAGTCAGATCCATGACCCACATCCCTGTATGAGCTGGAGGCACTATTTACTGAGCTCCCTTGGAGCCACCAGAAGAATGGCACATTTCTTTCAGCTAATCTCATTGTGTTTGTAACAGCCTCATTTAGGAAGCCATCAGAGGGAACGTACAATAATCTGCCTGTAAAGTGACTCGCTGTGAAGTCGGTTCTTGCTGTCATCAGTTCTGGTGGATTTGTCACATTCTAAAAAACACTGGCGGTACTCTTTGTCTTTGCCACAAACATTATCATACTTTTCTTCACATAACTCCATATGATGTATAGTAGAATGATCTTATTTATGGTGCTGTAATGACTAAACCGTCTCTTCACAACAGCTGTGACTGTAAATTTATGTCTGTATATGGAGCCATGTGGCTGTTTTGAATATTTAATTGGAGCACTTTATTTGATTGATTGCTGGGCTTTCGGGCTCCTCTGTAAGAACAATGTGTCTCTGCCCCAATTAGCATTTGTGCTGCTCGGTGTTGTATGCATGTGTATGGGATGGTGCAGTCGGTGGGATTGTGAGGGAGATGTGCTCTGTGG